GGGTGGGTGAGTGGGTGGGTGGGTGGGTGTACGTCCATGGTCTGGGGTTTGTTCAGGGCATTACCACAGCCTGTTGTTCAAACCACATTATTATCGTCGTTCTCTACTCGACACGGATTCTTTTCTACGGCTTCGACTCGAGGCTCGTCTCAGGGGGGACTGAGAGTCACGTCTCTCCCCGCGCTTCTTCCCACTCTGCCTGTCACCTTTGTCTTTTACACGGCAGTTCTGGGGGACTGTAAATGTTAATGAAATCAGAACTCACTGTTCAGCTGAGCGATGGTTCAGTCGTACAGGTTTAAAAAAAAACCAAACAAAAACAAAACTGTCAGTGAGGCTTTCAAAGATTTAGACCTCCTGTCCGAGAGCCAGGACGCTCCCTCGTGCCTGGCCTCAGGATGAAGTGTGAGTGTGTGTTTGTTAGAGCGGAGCCTGACAGGTTTACCCACACACCCCGGCTCGTTGGACAGCTGACAGAGTTCCTCGGACGTCGGCCGCGTCCCTCCATAGTTTCACCTTGACCCTGTGACAGACGAAGCTGCCGTCAGTCGTTCAGACAGACAGAGTTCCTCTGGGTCAGACGATGATGAACCAATTAGTCCTGGGTTTAGGTGTGAAGTCGCTGCAGGGGAAACAAATGCTGTGGGCTGAGTTTGGAGCAGCAGAAGTCTTAACTCGGATTTAGCTCCGGCTCCAGAGCAGATGGTTTCGGTTTCCATAAATGATTCAGTTGAATTTGGTGTTAAAAATTCCACACATTCATTTTGACAGCACTGCTCTGGAGAAGAGGGAAGAGAAGAGTCAGAGCAGGAGACTTGACTCTGTCCTCGCCGTGTGAGTGTGTGGGTTTTCATGAGATGAAAACTGAACAACCTTTGTTTATGACATAATAAAGGTTTCAGTGCGACGACAGATTTGATTTAATGTTTTATCGCGTTTCTAGTAACTCAGAACTGTATCTTTGTTAAAGTGCAGCAGCTGGAAAACTGACCTGGGAGTGGTCCAAGTGGAAAGGAATAAAAAAAAAAAAACATTTCTACTTTTCAGTATTCTGAATATGAAACACATACTTTAAAAGAAAAACTGCTGGATTTTAAACAGACCGTTCTTCAATTCCGGTAAAAGATTCTTGATACTCGTGTTACCTTTTCCTTCTGTCAGATTTACCTCCGTGTTCCTCCTGAACTTTGACCTGAGGCTTTGGTGGATGATGTTTTTCTGTCTGCGAGAGAATCGTTCGTACGACGCCAATGGACTGTAGTCACGGCGACGGAATCATAGGCGTACGATGAGGGAATAACAAAGACAGGTGTAACAAAAGAATGGATTGGATGTTGGGTTGTAGGGGTGTGAGGAGGGGAGGAGGGGAGGAGGGGAGGAGGGGGGGGGAGGGGGGGGGGCGGCAATGTTTGATAC